AAAGTAGAAGATGACGTAACAATTGCAGTCGCTCAGGCGCTTCGTCAGCTCAGACAGATATTCAAGCATGGTTGTAAGCATTGCCTCGTTTTCGCTGGTTATTTGTCAGTTTGCAGTTGTGTTCCGTAAAATTAGTTGCAAATGAAGTACGGTAATTTAAATGTCATTATGTCTTACGATGAGCTTTAGTTTAGTTGCAATAATCAAAAATGAGTCCCGGAAATACTGCGATAGACTAGGCAAAAATTAGCTATCATTACACGTAGGGTTGGATACCCGGTTAACCGAGCGTTATTTTGCTATTTGATATCCGGATATTCTTGTGACGGTTAACCGGATAAAAGAGCAGTATAAATAATGCATGTGAGCATTAGTGATTTTTATATTTTTTGTTGAGTGGCGACTGACATCATCCCACAGGAGAGTAGATTCCGATTTCTCTTATTTTTCTGTCGTCATTTATTTGTCATACCCTCCCTATAGGTACATCGCTACTTTTGTTAGTTACAGTGTTACATAATTTTGTTTGCTAAGTTGCTGTATGTTGTTTATTTTGCAGTAGTTACTGATTGGTAACTGATCGATACTGATTACTAGGGATGTTCATTTCGTTTCGAGTTGTATTCGAATTTTGGTTGATCTTTTGAACAGTTGCCTCTCGATTTTTTTGTTACGTTGCGTAGTTCAAAATAAAGTTGTAAAATATACTGATAATACCGCCTACGTTTTCAGTTGATAATAGTTTTTTTATTGCGCAAAATATTCAATTTGTTTGTTATCTATCGTCGTATCTATCGTTAAAAGAGTAAATCTGAAACACACATTTTTGACTGAAAAAAAGGCATTAAATGCTAACGAAAATACAACGACTCTTGATTTATGAGCCAGTGATATTTAAAACAAAACGCTATTCTAGACGCTGTTGAATCGCCAAAATCTCGTAATAGTCGTATTCACTAAATTTGCAACAAGGGTTACCATTTCACGGGATGTAACTTCTTAGCAAATCGGCATGATGCCGATGTTAATTCCCCTAATAATCACGAAACGCGGAAGAAAACAATCGGCGATGCTAACAAAATTAGCCTGTAAAATTCGACCGCCTTTATCGAAAATTTTAAAAAGAAGGGCTGTTATTACATTTGTGGTTTTCATGGAATTTTCCCTAAATATTTTGTTTGCAGGATGGTCTATAATATTTCAGAAAAGTTTAATTTGACCGACTTTGTATCGTGTCATGTTTTTCCTTTACTCACCTAGGGTTATAAGTAAAGTTGTTCAAAAACTGGCGCAGCATTGTTTTGGCTCTGTTAATTTAGTTTAAAGGTATTCGAATGGAAATAGATTTAAAGCTGTGGCCTAATTAGTACAAACGTGAGAATATTTAAAGTGACATGTTAAATAAGTGAATTTTTTAAAATAGAATAAATTTTAAATTCATCGCAGAAATCTTGTGAAATGGGTTCTCTAAAATTAGCAGTAACTATCCGGGTAACTGGATAATTAAAATACGGAATACCCGGATATATCCGTTATCCGGATAGTTAAAATTATGGGTATTCGAACTAACCCTAATTACATGTAAGCGGAACGTGGCTTTACATTTTAACAAAAATGATGGTTTTAGGCGTGTAAATCAGTTGTGAGAGCTAACTCTCAAAACACTCGCGACATGAGCATCCAAAAGTTTGCAATAATAGTATGGGGAAATTTTTTCTGGGCTCAAGGGTCGGGGAAACATCCATTGCAAGTGTATCTGCCGGTTTTCGCTTGCAAACTTATTTTGATGGCTTAATTCGTTTTATTCGGATCGTAATTGAAGGACAGTTTGTAAGCGTCGTCTCGCGAAAGCATTTTTGAAATGGATATCAAACACTTTGCATTTGTTAAGTAAATGATAAATTTTTATGCGGTCAAGGTTCCAGGAAAAAATTCATTTCGATTTTTTGTCTATAATAACACAGAACAAAAATAAACAGCACAGACAAAGGCGACTGGAAGACCGAGGAAACGGATTAACCTAAGAGAAAGTTTCATAATACGTTCTGTAACGAGCGCTCGTAACCATTCACCCACAATCACATAGGTAGATTACTGATCACTTACACCATCGATTTCTGTGAAGTCATCGATGATTACACATTACAGCAATCTTACTGCGAAGAATAAAGACATAAGCTGCATACATAAACTCGAGAATTATTTTTGGTAAAAGTAATGACGCTTTTAATTTCTAGGATAATGTACACCAGACTGGAAGCAGTTTTCTAAACATAATTCGGTATAAACCGAACACAATACTGCGATACGGCATGGTTTTAGATACAATGCTAAATTTATTTATATATAGTAAGCTTACTTGTAAATAACTTTGGCGAGCGCAATTGCTGAATACATTAACAGGAAAACTATGTAACAGTTCCTTTGAAAAACAGCGAATCATAATAATAAGAAAATGATTAGCTGCTGTTCTCCTCAGTAAACAACCAAAGCTTGAAAGGAAACAAAAACAACGATCATGGAATCTTCGGTCGTTGCTTTTTATGTAACAAAACATTGTTGTTTCCACCAATTCTATATATACCGTAGTATGCCATTTCCTTGTTTGATTGATATGCACAGTACCTTTGAAGCGTTGCTAATTTTTAGGAGCTATATAGCGGGTTTCAGCGGTACAGCTATTAACATTGATAAAACAGACTCTTTTGTGTAGTTACAGTTCCATGATCTTGCGGCAACGATGTTTTCCAATTGTTGTACTAACTGTCAATGTCTGGCCAAGCACACTAACTCAGGTGTCAGATGCGATGCCATCTCAAAGCCATCGACACCCGTGCCGCTTTCACTGCAGGCATGAAAGTTGCAACACAAGTTTTAGTCAATACAGTTTGAAATTTCTGTCATTGTTTTGCGACAGGTGTTAAGTGCACTATAGCAAATTTTTCTGGTTGTGCGGCGAGGTCAGCAAAAATTAAAAATTGATTATAGCGGTTCCGAAGCCGCTTGTGAGCGGATCTCGCACTTAGCGAAAGTAGGGAGCTTTTTTATGGGGTACTGTAGAGCAAGGTTACTCAACTATTTTCACCAAAAATCCGTACACAAAATTACCACGGTCCGCTCAATATTTTTTACGTATGCAAACAAAATTTCGAACGCATCGTTTGACAAAATACAAGAGCAATGTTCAATATCGCGCTTCGGAGCCGGTGTGACAAGGCTTTAAAAATGTCGCTGAGCGCCGACTTTTCTGAAAAGATGTGAACTATTCGCCCCCATAGCACCCTTAAAAATATATATATTTGAAAAGTCTTCCAGCGACTCAAATTAAACTTAGGAATGAAAATTTGGAATATATTAATTGCGGAGAAGAGCAATTTTTCCAAGCAATATTGAGAAAAACCACAACGCCCGCAAGACTCTCAGCAAACCGATTCATTAGTCGCCATTTGCAAAGTTATTTATCGACGGTTATTACATTTCTTTGTTTTTGCCATTAATTTCAATATTGGTTCTAGAAAGTGAGATTATACTATTTTGCTTGCTGATTAGCCAATGCTAAGAGAGTGAACGAGTGAGTCGGTGCTCTGAGAATTTTTTCCTGAGTGGTTTAGCGAAAAATGCATTACATTACGATTGCGAAATAAAAAGAAGCGATGCATTCAAAGTCAAGAAGCAGCAACGGTCCAAATTGAATACTCGAAAGGTCCGGATTCGGTCCGCCAGTTGAGTAGCCCTGCTGTAGAGTATAGACTCTAGAGTGGGGGAACTTGTGAGTAAAATATTTTGTTTTGGTCTTCGTTTCCATATGTTTGAGCTTTCCTGTCTTGTTCTGCTAAAGCTTTACTCGGTGGTCTAATGTGCCATACATTTAAGAGTAAGTGATATTTTATAGCTTTGTTTTGCAGACAATGTAAACGATACTATCTAATACTATTAAAATATATCATTAGGGCGACTATTATGGGATAGTAAAATACTATAAGACTGTGTACTTTTCAAACGATTGACCGCATGAGATTCATTAAATCATTAGAGAACAAGGTTTCCACGTTGTTCAGTTTTCGCGCATAACTCGGACGCTTTTCAATTTAAATCTTTTGCATATATTCTTCTATTTTCGAGGGATGTGCGAAATAAATATTTTCAGTTAGATAATCTATTCTTTTGAAATAGTTTAATATCGAAATAGATGACAAATTTTTTTAAATGTTGTGAAAGCTTCAACAAATGTCAAATGAATGATGTAGCCACTGCACCTTTTGGATGCTGATAGCTGTGGTTAGAAATCGTATCACGCGATACGGCACACGACTGCTCACTCTCACATAAATGTAAAATGTAGTTATATATACGTGTTAAAAATTAAAAAGTTCTCAAGGAATTTTGAGAGAGATAGGGGTGGAAAACTACATCATGATGGTTTATAATCATATGCATCAAATATATAACTAACTGTAAAGTTTATGCATATGCGATACGGCATGCGACTGTTCACTCACTTATATTGATATATACGTGTTAAAAATTTAAAAGCTACCAAGGAATTTTGAGAGAGATTGGAGTGGAAAACTACATCCTGATGATTTATAATATTATGCATCAAATATATAACTAACTTTAAAGTTTATGCATACAAAATGTTAATATTGCATAGGCTTACCATATAAATAGAAGAAACAAATAAACGGGACAGTGTGGAAGGGACAAAAACTTGGCTCGATCTCGAGATTTGTTATATTCAACTCATAAGAATATTATTAATATTCAAATCATTGGAAAACGTATTAACAATATCATAATCATAACATACAATATAGTAGTATCTCTCCCGCGAATGACTATCATTGCTCTCACTGGATTAGTGAAGTGAGTTGCAAATCAGTGATAAATGGACTGCTTCTATTAATATAAAATATTGCATTGATATTAAAATATATATTTATGAATGCCATACTGCATGACCGAGACATTTAAGTCTATGGGTGGGACGCCGAGTCAGCTTGTCAAAATCGGGACTGACCCGTCTAAACCGGGACGTATGATAAGACTAATATTACATACACTCCGCTCATTATCCATTAGGTTTAAATACTAGTTGGTTGATTATATACTACTAATTTACCGGGTTGTTAAAGTTGTTTCTCCCTCTGAATAAAATGTTGTGCACTCTTGTATAAAGTGGGATTTTATCAATGTCGTCCGCAAGTTTGAACATTCCAATTGACGGATTGTAATATAGAAATATTAGTGGAAAGAAGAATAAAATTAGTGCTTTTGGGGGGCTTGCTTCTTAGAATTCTTCATTGTAACGTACACGTCAATGTCAGATGAAATAGGCAGTCCCAAGGAATTTGAACTGTTATCTTTGTAAGTCGAAGAAATGGAATTTTTTCTCTCTCTAACATTAGGAATCATATATTCCTCTTTATCTTGTTCAATGTGCACGCTGGCAGATGCCATTTGCTTGCTTGAGTCCATGAAATATTGCTGTGGCATCTTAGTAATACGTTTCATAGATTCGTTTTGTCTTCTGGCTATCCTCGCTGCAACCCCATTGTACGAAGGTACTCGCGGCAACTGGGTGGCTCCCCTTAGTTTTTTGGGGTTCTTTGTTGACGATCCTGGAAGAGGACGAGAACGATATAAATTTCTTTCCGACAACACGTCATCGAACGATCTGGCTCTTCTCATTTGTCGACTGTATCCTGGTAGGTCTACAGGTTGCATTCTAGCGTACGGTCCTGTAATACCTATCACTTGATATCTTTCCTCAGATACCACAGTGTTTGTACGAGGTCTACCTTCCTCGTTTACGCATGGGGTGCCGTACATCCCCAGCGTTTCTTCATAGATATTTCCTTCGGCGTTATCGAGAACCTGAGAATAATCGTTCGGACTCTCGTAAACATGGACCGCGCTATAGTTCCTTTTTATTGCTATTTCAGGATTAAGTCGGGGCTGTGGTTCGCTACGGGTTCTTCTTGTGAATCGTCGAGATAAAATTCTCCAATGTTCTAACAAAAAAGATTGTGAACTGACTAGTGAAGTTTCTCTGTTGATATTTCTCCTCTTCGATCTAAAACATAATCGGCGAATTGGTTATATATGTATCACCGAAAATTTGCGAAGTTCTGATTGTTCATCATCATTATTCTTAATTACTATTCATTAGAATGTGAAGTATGCTACAATACAGTGCATTTACAAAATGTAGTAGGATAAAAAAGGTAATACTTACATCATGATTATCACGATGATAATTATAATTATCAACAATACCATCCCACCGACACCGAATCCAAGCTTCATTTCAAAACTGATGTAGGAACATGAATTAGCAGGACATTCCTGAATGGCAGATTCAAAGGATTAGGTCGACAGAGTGAAAAAAAATCATGGGCAATCAATTTTTCCATAACTCAACATGCGTTTAATAGATATATATATATACGTCTGCCTCTGTGAAAAACGTCGTGGCGACCCGCCCTTAAGAGTCGTGAGGTTGGGGAGGTTATACAATCAGTCACTGATTTCTAACGATATGGAGGGAGCTACCATAATACGGATAGACCGCAATCTTTCCGACTTGGTTTGGCATTGTCTACCAACTTGATTACACACTGAATGGGATAAGCCGCAGGGTGGTCCAAACCCAGGCCCGCGGGCCACATGTGGCCCGCCGCTTCATTTTTTGTGGCCCGCGTCGCATTTGCGTGAGTGTAAAAGAAACGCATTTGGTGTTGTTTCGTCATAAAATAACCAGAACAATCTTTTGACATATTGTTGCATTATTAATGTCACTGATTTGACTAGTGTTATGGCTAACTGAGGCAACTAGCGAAGTTGAATGATGTGCTTGGCCAAGTCTTATATATATATATGAATATATGCCAACAGAATAGGCTTCAAAGAAAACTAACGGATGAGTAATCTATTAGCCTAGGTTGGCTATGCCTGATAACTAAATATTAAAATAATGGCCGACCAATATAATTCCTGCCGGGTGGTTTTTTCCAACCAGCCTAAACAGTATTACAAAAAATGCTGCCTATATGTCATAAAATTTAGTAATTACCCTCCTGTATCTTAAATTTGGTAAAATTCGGTAATCAATTAATCTACAGTTATTTGTAAGTTATTTTGTAAATATGAGTTTGAAAAGAAAGCTGACCAATTAAATCAGATTTTTGACTAGATATGGGAGAAAAAACACCACAATGCTTACCACAGTGCCTTATGGCACTTTTTCCGATATGAAGATTTTGAAATCTTACAATAGATGTAGATATAGTAAAATTTTTACACGTTTTAGTGCGTTTTTTGGTGGTTTTGGCATGTTTTAGCTTGATAGATGACAAATAATGACCAATGTGTTTGGACAATAAAAGTGTTTGTTTTATATTGCAATGTTTACCTATGCTTGGCACTATTGTGGCCCGTGAACAATACAAAAATGATAGTGTGGTCCGCGAGGCCGACAACCTTGGACCACCCTGAGAGCATGAAATTTTTCCTTTTTATTGTGTTTTAGAATAATTTACGATTTACTGGTAGTAGGCTACGCACGAACAACGTTCGGTTACTTTAGGAAATGATCATCAGTCTTAGCTGCTTCTGACTCGAAATCCGTGACGCAATGGCGATAAAATGTGATGTGAACTCAGCGGAGTATTTAAAAAGCATCAAGTTTTCAAGTCGACCATAAATAAAAAGAAAATGGCCTATTTTGTTAAAAAGAATTACAAATAGAATCAAACAATATTTACGTTCATTCATGTTTTTATATAACTATGAATATTTTCTCATGCTTATATACATTGTAATATAAGTTAGGCCCAATATTAAAAAAACCCTGGTAGATATTAAACTGATTTAGACATATCGTTATAATGCCATTGTAATATTAAAGTTTTTTGCTTGCAGTAGCACAAACTCTCCATTGAGTTTATACGTCATGACTGTGTATATTCAATTATTTTACATAATAATACAATGCCTTCTTGATTATATCGTAGTTGTCATCGACACGCAGTACTGGGTGAGTCAAAAAATATTCCACTTTTCAAATCTTCACTACGGCAATGAGGTTGCAGTTATTCATCTAGTATATGTGAATTTATGTTGGTAATGAACTGCCACTTTGTTTCCAGTTTTGTACAGATTTCAATAACAAGTGATCTACCATAAATTTTTTGAAAACCTTTGATGCAAAAATATGGCTTGGATAGGTAAATTCGTGCATTTATAGCGGAATGTTTCCTTACCAGCAGAGAATCATTACCGACTAAAGGCAAAGCTGATAAATCTTTGAGAAAATCCAACGGTCGAGCAACTGCCCATACGGCAAAAATTCATTGGATGTTTTGCAAGGACTATTTCCATCGCATTTGACTTCTATTTGATCGTCAGCACCTTCTGTGGCGTTATCCTAATGGTGAACGAGCCCTAACCAAAAGCCCTTAATGAACTGAAAGCTGTCATTTGCAAAACAATAAATGGAATTCTCCGGAAACGACTCTCTCAGAAGGTGATGAAAAACTTTAGAATACGCTTACAGCAATGTATTGCTGTTTTATGGGCATCTTCAATGCGTTGTTTATAAAAGTTGGCAAGTACACAAAATGGCAAAAGTTGGCAAGTACACAAAATGGCAATCAAATGCATTGTTGAGTATGTAATAAAAATTTATTAAAGTCTTTTTTTGACTATTCTTCCGAAAAATATAATATGGGATATATATAATATATTTTGCCTCATCCTGTATATTCGCCACCACATGCGGGTGAATATAACATAACATGACATAATCTGCAAAAGTGTAATATACCAAGATACTCAAAATAGGATTGATGTAAATGTCTTTTTTAAATGTAAAAAATAAATATAGACAAAATAAAAATCTACTCACTATAGATTCAATTTGAACAGATTCTGTTCCAGATCCATAGCATATTGCTGGCATTTCAAGACCTGATGTTGAATAGCAGGTTCGTTTTCTTTGTCTTTCTCTGTCGCATGAGTTTGAGCAATTGTTCCCATAATTAGTCCACTGCGACCACTCTCCACTGCACGAACTTTGATGGACACAATAGGCCCAATTCTATAAAAGTGTAATTTCAGTTTTGATTTGCGATGATAATAAATTCATTCAATTGTTTATTCTATGTCTTCTGCCATCTCTGTTCCATGTAAGTCAGGGTCGTCCAATCTTTTTGGCCGAAGGGTCACATTCAGTTTACTAATAATTGCGCGGACCACTTAACAAAGTAGTTATGTTCTAGTTTTGCTACTGATTACAGGTTAATAAAAAACCAAACAATACCCTCACACCAAACTTTCACAATTATTAGATCAATGAACTATTGTTTCGCAACCATTCATGAGGAGCCATTAGGGGTTATTCCCAAAAGTTACACAGGACAGGCCAAGACGCTTGATCATTTTCATCACAGCTCGCAACAATCAATGCCTCGAGCCGTGACCTTAATCGAGACAATGGCTGCGAGCTTTTCGGTAAATTCAAAATCATCTCAACGCCCCCGCACGAAAAACGCTAATTGAGCAGTAGACTTGATGTCAGTGCCTTCGTTGCCAAGCGCCAAGGAATACGAATAAAACTTCCCCGCTTTTGCAATTAAAGTTTCTGCTATAGAACTCCCAAGTTCTTCGATACGACGAGAATGGTCTGTCATAACAGGCTTATTTTTGCGAACACTTCTTTTATTTCCGGGCATAAAACATTGGCAACCCGAACAATACATCCCTTAATGGCTTTGATTGTTTTGCGATTATTCCTGCCACCAAGTAGCTCGCTTCACAACCTACTCCTGGTACATAAAAGATTCTACGAAACATTTTGATATTTTTCAATTTTATCTTGCCTCATTGCCGAAACATCAAGAATTCCATGATGTACGTACGTAACGCGCATAAACACATAGCATTGGCAATCATTATTTATGCCCTCAACAGGTTTAATCAAGTAATATTTGGATAGTGATACATTTAAACGAGAGATCACGTGATAAAATAGAAGAAGATTGTCTCACAGATCAGATAACGTCATATAGAGTGATAAAAGACCAAGTGTGTAAGCGACTATATCTCCTCCCGGTTGGTTTTGATTCAAAATGGCACTCATGGCTCGTTTAAAAGGACTGGCTGAGCGCATTTTGAAAAAATCGTTTATACCACATCATTGTATACTACATCACTCGAAAAATGATTTTGCTCAATTTTTTTTACTCAATTTCGAAAAATACGGTGCGGGCCACTCGATATGCTTTCTGGTTGGACGGGCCATGAGTTGGACGACGCTGATGTAAGTCCACAAAGACTCGCATATTTCCTTTCAAACAAGTGAATAGTGCTTCTAATAGCAAATAGTTTGCAAACTACTTCATTTTTATTTTATAAAAGAAATTTGCTCAAATCAAGGTCACGCGTTCTCACTCAGGAATAAAGGAGATTGATCCCTAACAAAGATATGGGTGATAATTGTTAAGAGCTACTGAGATTATAAAGAACTATAGTTTAGAATTGTGCTCTCTAGTGAGTACCGATTAACGAGAGACCTCTAGCAGTTCATGTCAATACTATCATTTCATCATTCAATCATACAGTTCAACTAAATTCTACTTACAACTTCGTGACATATGTCACTTTGAGCGCAAAACCTTCTTCGCATGTGCATCGTGTTATGACACTGTGCAACTTTATTTCCAGGTAGTGGGATATTGCATTCCGTCCATGTTTGCCAAGCTCCCCATGATCCTGCACATCGCTCTCTTCCACATGATTTAGATGTAACCGTTACGTTACCGTTTTCCTGCATTGTTCTGGTGAACAAAAACGTCATTTTTTGAAGTTCGTTGTGTTCTATGGCCTATGCAATGATGCGGTCGCTATAGATTACATTTCAAACTTTATTGATAAAATCGCAATAGTTGGGAACTGCTCATCTCTCCAATTTTTCGCAACGTATGAAATTTAAGTTTGCGATATTATCGATTTACGTATGTATATATATATATATATATATATATATATATATATATATGAATAATGAAAATATAGTAGAAGCACAAATACCAGCTTAGTCCGGATCGTCTTATTTTGGTTAATTATTACGAGAATCGTTTTATTATGCACTCACTTCTACATTAAATACTCTGCTCGTATGCATATATTTTTTAGCCAAATTGAAAATAAAATAATACCTTTAAATGTATATAGCTATAAACACAAATATGGGATGAGTTCACCTAAGTCAAAGTTGTACGTATATATAGTTACTAGTTACTAGCTTATATATATATGCTAGTATATTCTGATTTTTTCAATATTCATTGTAAAATGCAACCTACCTAAACGTATTATCGTAATTTGCTGTTTCTGAATACGCATCATAATAATCCATTTCAAAGTCATCATAGTTTGATTCCTTATATTCTTCATAGTGAGTTGAATTTGAGACGCTTGATGTGTAAAATAAGAACAAGAGCACCAAAAACGTTTTGGACATATTTCATATGCTTCACGAACACGATACAGAAATGAAATAATGAATTCTAAGTCTAAGGATGCGCTTTTTCAATGTGCGATATCAGAAAGAAAGGAAACACGCATATAACATTACTCATGTGACATGTGTATGCAAATCCCAAATTCCATTGCCTTTACATGAATAATTTGATGCGTAATACAGAAAATCTTGGTATATACCTAATGTGGGCAAAATACGTAATATTGAATTTTCAAGATATCGCTTCCAAATCTTCAATACCGGAATTTCTCGTAGATTTTCAATGGCATTGAATTAATGCGCGGATAGCATTGAATGTAGTGGGTACAAATATGTTTCCATTGTTTATGTCAGTTTTGATATTTGTCAGTTTTGATATTTGAGCCACCTTAGCGCCCTTCCGCTCCTCCGGAATGAATATAAAAATCCTATCCCATCAAAACAATCAAATAATGATGTCTATGTATATATTTTATTTGTTAACTGGTGTTATTTTTGATTGAAGTTTTTATCTGATTGGCTGATCCATATAATCACTTAAGCTTATTATTGCTATATTTAAAACTGAACTAATTTTAATTAGCTGTTCCATGATTTCGGAAGGTGACGAATGGAGAAAGTATCGTTGTGCAATATGCCGTGTTGTCTTCTGTGGTTTATTTGGGCTTAATAACAAGTAGACGATGGCTAAGCGGTGCACTCTCCACGTGCACTATATTGAAAACGATACACGATGAGGTGACAAATAAGCAACTCGTGAAAAAAAGGTCGGAAACATGAAGTAGTTTGCATGTCAATTCCCATTTCGCCACCGATAAGTAATCACAAGCAGGCATGACAATTGCTTGTCACAAAATTTATGAAATAATAATTAAGATTTGCATTTCAGTTTTAATAAAAGATATTGTAAATTATTAACTATGAAGTGTGACCCAGATGCGTATTTTCTAACAAGTAAAGTTGAATATTTATTGAAATACAAAATCACTCTCATATTTTTTTTTTCAAATTTTATTTTAGTAATGTCGCACGATAATACTCCACATGTATCATACTTGAATTTGCCATTGAACTTTGGTGTTGTCAGACCCAGATGCAGTAACACGCAAACGAAATCATAAAAGGGGTTATGCAAAACCCTGCGCATAAATTAAAACTTTTGAAAATCGTATTCGTCACATGAGTTCAACTACTTTCAACATATACGCACATCCTCCACATCCACGTGACGGGTAGACCTGAGCTTTGCAGTAATGCAGAATTTTTATGACTTGGAATTGATATCAAGTTGTCATGTATTTTACAAGTCGTTATCCAATTTTGTTTTTAATAATACAATGCCCACGTTATTATATACGATCACCTGCATATTATATGAAGCGCGGAAAAAACAATATTTAGTTGGAATCATGTCATTGATCTCATCTTCACGAACATAGTTGCTTAATGTAGCCCATACCTGGCTCTCACGTCATCTCCTTCGTCGCTAACGACCGCACCGCGAAGACCCCTCCATACTATATATAGTTGTTTAATGTTATATTAACGTGTACTCTACTGAAGTGATTATAAAATAGATGTGTACTTTTCGGTGTATGGACCTACAAGGTATGTTTTGGAACGATATCTTTGTGATTTCGGTTTGCGCTGAAATAAAACACGATATACCGCGTCTTTTGGGCATATACTGTTAAGTATTGGCGTCGTCGAAACGCCAGCTGTGGTGAAAAGATGCATAGAATCATGGGAAGTCGGTGGGCAAGAAATAAATTTGCGCTGAAATAAAACACGATATACCGCGTCTTTTGGGCATATACTGTTAAGTATTGGCGTCGTCGAAACGCCAGCTGTGGTGAAAAGATGCATAGAATCATGGGAAGTCGGTGGGCAAGAAAGCAAGTTTACATCTAACAATCAATCACCTGGCATTTGTTTCCAGAAAGCAAAAAATTATTAGCCAGCGATACCATTTTACAAGAAGATACTACTTACATCAGGGCAGGGCAATTATTTTTGCCATCGGGCCACATTGAATATTCAAAATGCAGTGGCGGGCCGGACTAAGTAAAGTCACTTGCGCATTTTATTGTATTTTATTACACATTTAAATAACAACAAAGTACTATATCTATTGCACTTTATTTTTTTCCAAATCACAATTTAAACTAGATTAGAACATAAACCTCGCGATTCCGAGACTATAAATTTTATCATTAAAGTGAGATAAACTGTCGGAATATATATACTTAGTTTTGATACCAATTTTGGCGATACGGGCTATTCATAATGTCTTGCTTCATTGTTTTCAACTTAAACCGCGGTTGCTTTGAAGAAATATAAGCATTCTTATTCTGAAATACCACCCCGACACTTACAATGAATATGAAAATAGTCACATTACATCGGTGACTCTGAAATCAATCATTGAATAGGATTGCATGCAGAAAGGCAAAACCCTCTCAATATGCTTGGAAATACATTGCAATTAGTTGGTGATCGTTTGGTTTCAGAACAATACGTACTGTAAGATATCTTCTTATTCATTCACCAAGGACATGCCAAAATGTAGTCCAGGACTCAGATTACATCAATTATTAAATATATACTACTGGTAACAGTTTAAGTATAATATAATGAGATTTGGGGATTGATACTGAGGTAGGTATTGTAATTTATCGGTTATAATAGGTGGGAGCAATGATAAAGGAATTGAGGATGTTTTTTCATAGGATACTTTGAGATTGATACGGAAGAGAGAGAGTTTATTTGTTTTGTCCACCAGAAAACATATACACGACAAAAACATAATTAATAAAAAGCGAAACAGTTCTCGGTATAGACTGGGTGGCAACCAGTGATTTCCCTACCCCCCCCCCCCCCCCCTATAGGGGGTGAACACCCCCCTAAAATTTCAAACACCCCCCCTAATTTTGAAGTGCGATTTCACACTGAGGGGTTCTAAACCGCAGTCTGCGGGCCAATTACGACCCGCGTGACGATTTAAAATGGCCCGCCGAACTTGAGTGAAACAGTTTAACCCTTCATGTGGTACCTTTTGAGTTTTAGATACCGTCTATTGTTACATCATTATCACAGTTTAAGCACGTTTATTTTGTAACAATTGAATTATTCCGGTATCTTATGTATAGGTATGGGTATTATGATTACACACTGCAGTATTTTAGATATCAGCCATATATTAAGAAAGCTTAAAGATGTCACAAAACGAAAACTAGGCACTAAAAACAGACGTTTTTTAGATGAATGACAGCGTTTTTATTTCTTTATTGAAAAGAATCAAACTTCATCGATTTGTCTTCTTACAAAATATTTCAGTTCAGATGAGCAAGTAACTTCATTAGTCACTATCAGTTGCAAATTACTTGTTGAAACGTAGTAGTATATATTTAGCCGTGCTTGTTATCTATTCCCCGGGAATTCTATCAGCTAAATATTATAATTATTGATTTTATTACATAACAAACTGCGATGCTAGGTGTATCTAAAATCAAGCTTAGAGCCTATTTTGGTGCCTATTTCTCTCAGGGCGCTTAAGCGCGCCCTGAACCCCAGCCGTGTCGTCCCGCACTTTTCCTCGCTCCCCTTTTCTGGCCCTACAATTTCATTCTGCTGTGGATTTTGGCTCGCCGTCAATCAACTTGGGGGGCCTCACATGTACATCGTTTCTTAAATACATACCATTTTTTTAAGAATACAAATAGCCTAGTTTTATCTCTAATAGCAAATTATTTTGGAAACCTATTATCTTTGGAAACCTATTCACATATTTCACGTCATTCGATGAGTAGGTCGGCGAGTAGGTTTGTAAAAGATTGCATATATGTTGACCTATTTGTTATTAGGAGATTGTTAAATTGATTTTAGGAGGTATTGATCATTAAATTCTTATCACTTTATATTGGTGTTTAGAGGATCCATTTAGGAGGATGTCCATATGTCTTCGATTGCGATGATATCTTCTTCCATCAGACTCAACAAATTAAGATCTTGGTAAGTGATGATTCTGGCATATGATATCTTCCTTGTCATATCTTTTTTTAGTTTGCAATCTCACTATATCACCAGTGTTCAAATTAGGTAGCAGTTTTGAAGACTTGTCAAAATATTTCTTTTGTTGGCTTTTTTTTTGCAGCAATTGGTCATGCACTTTTTTGGATCTCTCATCTCAGGATTCAACAAATTCATTGATATAGGTATGTCATCTTTTGCTCGACGTGATAACAAACGTTGTACGGAAGAACTAAGTATTTTATCCCTAGGCACATTTTGAATATTTAATAGAACAAGGTAAGAATCAGATCGATCTCGTCTGCATTTCTCCAACAAATTTTTAGATTGTTTTACAGCATTTTCAGCTGGTTCATTGCTTTAAGGACTACTTCAGGACTACTCATAAGATGTTTGAATTGTCATTCTCTAGCAAATTCTTCGAAAAGAAGCGAAGAATATTGGGGACCACCATCACTGAACAAACAATACATCTGGACTGCCAAATCTAGCAAAATGTTTCTTTAAAACAGTATATGAGGAAATATCAGGCAAGTGGTTAATTTCAAACCATCTAGAATAAGAGTCAACAAGTGTTCACTTCCAAACCAGTGAAAATATTCGGTATCTAGAATAGACCAGGGCTTCCCAAACTAGGGGCCGCGGCCCCACAAGGGGCCGCTAAACGAACACCAATTTTACACAATGTACTATATCTATTGCAGTTTTGCAGACTTTTGATTCGAAATACAATTATTAAAACAAGTGTAAAAAAAACTTCACGATTCTGAGTGAATACATCATCTTAACGTGTTCCCCAAAAATAAGACAGTGTCTCCTTTTTTTTCGAAAAATAACACCGGGGCTTATTTTGGGGTGGTGTCTTTTATTTTCCTTTTTTAGTAACAAATTTACAAATTAGGGGATTACGTGATTTTTAAATAAACAAAATAGAAAAACCGATTTATATTTACTTATAAATAACACGTTTTTATTTAAAATAA